CCAGTCCCGGGTACCAGCCAGCACAGCCCCCAGCACCGGCCTCTCCCTTTCCTCCTCCGCGTCTGGCGGTGCGGGGTTGTAAACCCGTCCCGAAGAGCAGGTGTACGGTGATGCCGGTGGGTAAAAGCCAACAGCCCCTCGCTGTACCTGCACGTGAGCGCTATCATCCTCTCCGTCGCCACCACCGGACTTTTATTAGCTGTTTGGTCGTTTAAATACCCTTTTGCAGCAATTGGGGCAAATAGAATTGCAGACTTAAAGGAAATGTTCTGTAACTAAACTAGTTAACCAGTGAGGGGTGGGGGGGGGAAGACACTAATTGAGCCGTGTGCTTGAGAGTTAACTATGATTTTAGCCACACTGGCTAATATGTCTGTGTTCAGTCATCGAGTTTTTTTTCTTGCATTTAATGCCCGTGCTTCATTTAATGCCGTGCTTCAAAAGCAGCCTAAACATTTCAAACCTCCGATTATGTTCTGGTGCATTGTAAAGAAGCAGGAAAAGTAACCAGCTTTCTCAGATCAAGGCAGGCTTGAAACCAATCACAGGATTCTGTACATGGTATTTATCTTAGTTGTACCTTGATAAATTTGTCAGGAGGGAGAAATGCCACAGCTGAACTCTAAATGATAAGTCCTAGGATATCAGTGGTTTGACCAACTCTTGATGCTTAAATTTTCTTTCCAAAAAAGCTGCTTTTCAGTAGGAATCAGCAAGAGTATCATTTTTATGGAAATAGTTGGCATTGCAAATATTTGGTTTTTAAAAAATATTTAGAATATGCAAAAACTCTAGAAAAGTCTGCGGGCTGTCAGGGTAAGATATGTCCACAGGTAACTAAGTGTATAGAATCAGTCATAACATTGGTAGGACCAGAGATTCCTTTAAAAATCTATTGAAGGCTGTCGGCACTGTAAAATTACATTTATACAATTTGGCCTCAGTGGATTTGTGACCCCCACCTCCTGCATATCTCTTGAGAAACCCCGAGGAGGGAAAAGTCAAAGAGAAAGAGGGAACTAAAAGCTTAAGTTTTAATATTAGATGGTAAAATGATTGAATTATTTAGATTGTGGTAGATTTAAATAAAACTATTTGGGTAAAAATGTATGGTGACTTCTTGGTCACCAGGTTTCTTAGGACAGCAACAGTACTTAATAAAATGTCTAGAGAATAATGCAAATGTGAGTAGTTGTGCAGTATGGAATGGAGAATTGGTGAGATTCAAGAAGTCAGTGGACAGTGCTCAGAATTCTCCAGAATTGTGTATATAGTTCCCAAATACATAACTTACTGTCACCTGGTTGAGCGTTAGTTGATCCTTCTAGCTGTCTGTTAAGTTGCTTCCTTTTTTTAGTTTCATTTCTTCCGTGGTGGTGTTGCTATTATGAAAAAAAGAGAGGGAGAAGGCTTAGAAAAATACACTTTTATCATTTGGAGTTCATGAAGAAGGTAAATTAGATGAGATACAGGACTTACTGAAAATACTGGGAGGCATAGTGAACATGTTTATTTTCTTTGTTTCATTCTCAGTTTTGGGATGTTTTTGGAGTATAGTATACGTGAAAGGGAGGGCTTCAAAACTACACAGTAAGGGGCATAACCCTCTTCTCTTTTTGATGTGGGACTGTCTCAGAGGTATGGATGGAAAATTAAGTGAAGACTACATACAACTGGTTAAAGACAGTGTACTAGCATGAGGATAGTAAATTTATTCATTCTATAGGTTAGAAAACTTCTTTATGATTTTTCTGGCATGAAGTTCTGATTATAGACAGAGCTGTTGTGTAGGGCCACCTCATAAGCCTCTGATGAGTTGATCAGTCAGTTGTCTGTGGATCACCCTCCCTAATTTGTTTGGGTTTGTGCTGACCGAGCCAGCAGGGTCTTTGGTACAAAGTAGGGAGATGGAAGGAAAGTGAGAAATCACCCCCCACCCCAGTGTGCAACCTGCTCTCCTCCATCTCCTCCATTTCCATTTTCCTCTAGGGACTCTGAGCACACGTGTGCATGTACCTTGCATGATTTTCAAGCCACTGGGACTCCAGTCCTGCTGTCAGCCATGTGGGATCCAGCCACCTTAAACTTCTAAGCCATTTGCTGGCTCCAAAATTTCTTGATCTGTTCCTTTGCTCTACTCCTGCCCCCAAAATAAAACACATAAATACACATGTGTAAGCAGACACAGACACATATATATAATCAGTCACTATTGTCACCAGATCAACTAAATAAAAACTGATTGGATAACTCCTCAAATTGAAAAGTTTTTCAGTAGCTTCCTGTTACCTATGGATAAATTTTAAAAGTAATCTTCATCTTCAGGGCTGCCCATGATTTGACCCTTGACTTCATCAGCCTTGTCTTCTAGGGTCCATGAGCCTAGATGCTGCCACTCTTAGGCATCTTTGTATTTTATTCTCTATCCATTTTGCCTGAACAGCTCTTCAGATTGAACAGCTTTTCTCACTTTATATGCTCTGGTCCCTGTTGGAACTCTGCTTGGAATACTTTCCTTCTAATCCATTTGAAATTCCTATTAACACTTCAAACTTCTTTAAGGTTTGGCCTTGTCCAGCAATCCTAGGTAGATTAAGGTAGTCCTTATACTTGTACATATGTGGTCAGCATTATACTGTATTGTGTTGTAATTTTTTTCATGTCTTTCTCAACTCACTATGAACTTATGAAAAGAAAGCAGATCTTGGTCGTTAACCTATCTCCCACACAGACATTCGAAGATCTTGTTCGTTATCCTCCCTCCCCCAAAGACATTCTTTTTTTTTTTTTTTTTTTTTTTTTTGAGAGGTTTTTGTTAGAGCATGTGCACTCGCCAGAAAGACAGAGAGACAGAAAGCGAGAAATCAGTCCCCCGGAGGGATGGCCACACCGCAATCCCTTCTCCATTCTCCTCTCAAGATCTTGGGCATGCATGCATGTACACACGCCTGGCGTGAGTTTAAGCCACTGGGTCCAGGACTTGAACCACGGTCAACCACATAGGAGTCCAGCAACACAGCCATCGTGCTAACTGCTGGTCCCAAGACATTCTTTAAATACTGAATAGATACCTTTGCTGAATCTTCCTAGGCAGAGATATTAAGCCCTAAACATTTGCTTAGAAGTGCCTTCATTATGGGAGCTGGAAGAGGCAGTTGGGGAGCATAACACTGAGTCATATCCTTAACACACCTTCATCCTGCATTTCACCTATGCTTTTGGAATTGATAATATCAGTAAATTTGTTTTCCAAGAGCAACTGGTTATGGGAGACAGTGGCCTGTATAAGATCCCTTTATTTCTTGCTGGATTGTGGCTCCAGACCCCAGTGTAAGCCCAGTAAGCTACTCAAAGCATGTGAAGAATGCTTATGCATAGGCCATAGAGCTTAGAGCTTGGATCCACAGTGACCCTGTGGTCTGCATAAGAAGGAACAAGAGCAGGCATACAAGTGCCATCCCCCATCCCTGGCACATCTGATCTCAGCATAGGAAAAACATTCCATGGATGGGACCAGCAGATGGCATAATGGTTATGTCACTGGACTCCCACGTAGTCGACCATGGTTTGAGTCCTGGATCCAGCAACTTGAAACTCAAGCCAGATGCGTATGCATGCGTGCCCGAAACCCTGAGAAGAGAATGGAGAAGGGATTGTGGTGTGAACATCCCCCTGAGGGGTGAGTTCTCACTTTCTGTCTATCTCTCCAGTGAGCACATGCACCCTATAGCAAAAATTTCTCTCTCTAGGAAAAAAAAAAGGTTCCATGGAATAACCTGGTAAAGACATGAGAAGAGCTGACGTGAATGAAAAGGTTTCCTTACTAGCCATGTGGAAACAAGAGTATCAAGGGGACAGACTATGCTGTAAGTCTCAGTTGCTAGGTAGCACTTTGAACCCTGATGTTCCATACCAGAAAGATTGCTCCTCAGGAACCCGAACAGTCATGCAGGAAGGACAACTATTTATGCCGAGGCATAGTTTTGAACCAGGAAGAATCACTGGAGGCTTATATCCAGTCCATTTTAACCTTAGTAGCTCTTGACCTGGGGAAGGGAGAGAATGAAAAGGAAAGGAGGATTACATGAAGAAATTATTGACTCTCATTGACAGAATTATTGACTCTCATATTGACTGAAAACATTGAGCCACAATAAGATCAAGTGACTGCTCAAGGACTTGGAGCAACAGAATATCAAAGCCAGAATTTTAATTTACCTCTAAATCCAGAGTTCCTATTATTTTTCACTAAAACATTCATAATGTATGTCATTTCTAAAAAAATAAGATTACGAAAATTCCAAACTGTTTTCATCTTCTGTTTGGCTATATGGCTTTAGCTCTCACATGGTATGTGCCTGTTTAGCCTTTGAAGTAATAGCATCAACATGTTTAGTTGTTGAGCCAATGATTGTTCCTTTATAAGACTGATACAAATACATTTTTATAATAATTCTGACCACTTCATATACCTCTCATAATAACCAGGTATAGCTATTGGATACTTATTTTCTTCTCTCTTGTTAAACTGAGCTGAATGAGGAAAAAGCAGAGAAAATGTTAAAAGAGTATGAAATTATATAACTCTGAATTCTCTAGTTTACCTGTTATTTTGTTCACTCAGCTGTTGAGGAATGTAGGAAAAACAATCTCTGGCATCTTGGGTTTTTTTGCAGTTTTTTTTTAAAGGATTATTTATCTAATTTAATTATTTCTTTAAAAAGTGGCTATAGAACATGTGTGGTCACAAGAGAGAAACAGAGAGAGAGATAGAGAAAGTGAGAAAACAAGCCACCATGTCTGGGACTTTAACTGTGGTTGACCATGTGGGAGTCCAACACCTTAACCACACCACCTGGATCTAATTTAATTATTTCTTTAAAAAGTGGCTATAGAACATGTGTGGTCATGAGAGAAACAGAGAGAGAGATAGAGAAAGTGAGAAAACAAGCCACCATGTCTGGGACTTTAACTGTGGTTGACCATGTGGGAGTCCAACACCTTAACCACACCACCTGGGGCTCCTACCATATTTGATTGTTGACAGCAGCCAAACATATTAACTTAGAGTAGTTTTAATTATTTTATTTATATCTAATCATAGGAATTTAAAATAATAATATTTTTATGACTTTGAACTAGGGGTTTTTCGATCCTTTTTCCAAGAACCCCTTCAGAGTAAAATTGACAAAAGGGAAATAAATTGCCTGTAGGCCCTTTCATGCTGGTCTCTTCAACCACAACAGCTCTGTGTTATTTATTTGAATTCTCCTTAAGCTTTTCTTTGAATAAAGGATGCTTTTTTAAGTGCCAAATACGTATGAAAACCATTGCCTTCAATCAAATTCTTAGAGATCTGCTGAGAGAAGATAGGAAAATTCAGTTTAACTAATATTTGAGGTTTAGACTGCAGTGAAGTAGATACACTGTCCTTACTATATCATTTAGCAGGAAAGACAAATGTTAAGGAGTTACAAGTGAGATAAACTTTATAAGGTAAAATATAGAATGTTATGATGGCATGTAGCAAGGGGGCTCAACTAGTCTCTAGAGCAGCAGTTTCCAAACCTGTCTGGCCATTAGAATAACTTGGCGCATTCCTCGTCTCCACCCTGTCCCAAGACTCTTCAGAAATTTTTATATAGGCAGATGGGAATCTCGAGTCACTTCTCTGAGAAAGGGAAAGGGAATGTATCAGAGACCTTCAGGATAAAGTTACTTAAAGATCTAGTGGGAGCCAGTATAGATGATAAGGTGGAAGGTAGGGGCTGGAGCAGCATTACAACCTGAGAAAACTCTATGTAGGAGGTCTTGGAAAAAGGAGAAGGTGGAGTGTGTTCAAACAATTGAACAAAAGCCTAGTGTCTAGAACTTGGAGAGAGAGAGAGGATGTCTCAATATATGCATGTTTCTAATCTGGTATTTATATTATTGTATTGACTGTTTCCCCCTCTATAAGCTCTTTGAAGATGGAAACTATATATATTGGATTTTTTATTTGTTTGTTTTATTCACAAGGCTACAAAACTAAACTTTGTTTATGGTTCTAGCTGTAGCATCTAGTAGGAACTCAAAATCTTTGTATACAGGGGCTTGGTTCAGAATAGCGATAGAAAATATTATGAGTTATGAAAGAGAATAGTGACTTAAGGATTTTGTTAAGTCTAGGAACTCTTGATTCAGATAAAATTTTAAGGGAAGAGCTTGATACAGTCCAGACTGTCTATTTATATGTGGGAGTTGCTTCTCAGTCAACCACTCTCTCTAGAACATTCCAACCAATGTCTCTCCACATTGTACTTGTATTATTCCCTCTGCCTACTCATATTCACTTGGCATTTCCTACTCTCTTCTCTTTTAAATGCCTGTACCTGACCTCTTTTCTCTTGTTTTTTTCCTTAAAGTTAGGTGCTCATCTGATCTGCATACCTGTCTTGTAACACATTTTGTACTACAGCAGTGGCTTCAGAGTTTTGAGAAACCTTTTCTCTGGCTTTGCAGTCCTACTCTGTATCCTGACATTTTTAGTGAATAAAGTTTGAGGCAAAAGGAGTTGTGAAATATCAAAGGAATGAATTTTGAGAGCCAGTAGGG